TGATCTGGATATAACAATTCTTATGGTTATGAAATTGTGATGTTATCAAACTGCGGTTATCGTAAAACCGGTTAATCCCAACATCCCTAGTCTGTACAGATCGTCACTTTTACCTGAACAGAGTCAGATGTTCCAAACTCCATAGACTTGAGGATACTGAAAAGAGAGAAAAATAACATCTATATGAAACAATGACACATGTACACACGCACGTACTGTGTAGCATGCTAGCTTTTCTACTTGTTTCTTTAAGAACAAACAGGATAGTGGAGAAACACAATTCAAAGCTACAGACAGACCAGCTTCACCTTCAGAAGGGTGCTCTATTAAGTTACACATTTTAAATGAAGACGCACATCTTGTTTAATATTATTAAAGACATCAAACGCATGCACTAAAGAGATCTGTGCTGCACGCACACAGGCACACTCCTTACCTCAGCTCCTTCTTCACCTCCTCATAGTCAGCTTGCTTCAGCAGTTTCTCCTCCAGTTCCTGTAGATTAGGAATAACATGGAAATTAACAAAAAGAACAATAATTATTATAACTAGAATGGCATTCAGCAGACTGAATACCTCAGCCAAGACAAAGCACCCCCCTTAAATTTAATCAAGCTACACCAAATTGTACACACTCACAGATATCAGTCTTCTAAGATCTCTCTTTAGAAATATGTTGAAAAACACCCTATCTCACAATGTTAAAGAAATCCCAATTTGTTCAGATCAGCTCCAAATTCAATGGGTTCTTTCTTTGCCCATCACTCATCCTTCCACAAGGTTTCAATAAAATGAGATCAGTAGTTTTTGCATAATCCTGCTAACAGACAAACGGTAATGAAAACAACCCTCTTGGCGGAGTTATTAATTATAACAACACAAACAATCTTGTTTCTGTGACTAAGTCTAGATAACAGAACACAGATATGTGTGAATATAGTTACAGATGTGATCAAAATATAGAACAAAGCAGGTACAAGACAAACAGAGAAATAGTCTTGTTTGAAATGCTGAAAATAAATTGAAAAAGGTGAATAAAAACTGCAGCAGTGCGATCTGTTGGTACCTTGAGAATGGCAGTCTTGCTGCTGAGCTGCTGCTCTAGCTGTGTGATCTGGGAGCTGGTGGTCTCTCGGAGTTTGGTCAGGCTGGCCTGCAGTCTCTGGACGTCCTCCACCAGCTGGGCGGACTCCCTTTCTTTGGCTCTGAGCTCCGCCTCCAGACTTGAGTGAGATGCCACCTCCGCCACCTGTTCCTGAAGGCCAAACAGAGACAGTTTAAACTAATGAGCAAGAAAATTTGAAAGCTATAAAAAAACATGAAAAGTTCACTACAAGTAGGATTTCTAATCCAAGCAGAAGCTGATCAACACACTGGTTATCCATTTACTATGCACTGCTATAGGTTCAGAGAAATGAATACTTTAGTTGGTGGTCACTCTTGCAGTCTGTTGTAAAGGTCCAAAATAAATCAGTTATTTCTTACACATTCACCTATTGCCACCGTGGCAATCTTTTCTTGGAAAAACAATAACTAATCAATGCGCTATTGGTGATTTCAATGCCTGACCTCTAAACCCAGTGACTACAATCTATAAATTGAACCTTAATCAGCTATTCACCCCATGCATCAAAAAGGCCTAGCTGATCTTTAGCCTATCAATACCTCCCTGTCGGCCATCCAGTGAATCAGTGAAGCAGTGAGATGTGTTACCGTGTCGGGGTCGGCCTTGGCCGGGCTGCCGAGCTGCTGGGATTGGTTACTCAAGGACAACTGCTCTCTGAGTGACTCCGCCTCCCTCTGAGCTGCCTCTGCTCGCTGTCAGGAAAAAGGAGAAACGTTAAAGGAAAATCAGCTGTGGAGATTCTTATACTGTCAAACATCATCAATCTAATGGACAATTCAGAGCTACTGTGTAACGTTTTTGTCTGGTATACACACGTTACTTCAACAACAATTTTTCGCTCCCCCCGGAGGAAAACTGAACACGCACGTAATGGATGCAGACGGTGAGAGAGAATACAGAGTAGTGAGACCAAGACAGCAAAACTTCTTCCTTTTTAAGGCCTTGTCTCCACTACTGCAGATGTTTTTTTGAACAAATACATTCCCCTCCCTTTAAAAAAAAAACTCTCCGTCCACACCACCTTCATTTTACAAAATTTATTCGGCCAGACAAGAACACAATAATGACTAAATACGGTCAAACAGGCATGCTGGGCCAGTTGGTGGCGATAAAGTATACATCTACGATCCGTCAAATACCAGAGAAGAACGCTGTGATCCAACTAATATTGTACAACGCAGATGCCTGTGAATGTGGTCCAGGGATGCTAAATGCTAAAACTCGTAATTAGACCTAGCAATGCTAAACAAACATAGAGAAACAACATTAATAATTATCTTTAATCTAAGTATACAGCTGAATTAATTTCACTCTACATGCACTGGGCAAGTGGTATCACAAAAATGAAATAAAACTTTTAGGTTTTCTGGTAGATCATCTTCTACCAGACAGCTGAAAAGGAGGCTCACCTCCTTCCAGCATAAACAAATATATTATAGACAGTGGAAGAGGACTGGGAGAGTGTGAGAACACAAAATAAAAAGAGTGGGACGATGGCCAAGAGTGGATATTTCCCTAATTGCAAATATTCAATTAGTCCTGAGCATTGAGATGATACCCGCTGCCTCGTATTTAGGACCAAACTGCTGTGCTCCAGTTGGGAATCATCTGCAGCACTGGCCAACTTGCCATCATTAGAAGTTACAGGGAGCCGATTCCACAGCATTCCTAATTGCAACCATATTGAGAGCCGTTATTGACTGGGTGGGAGTCGGACGGCTCGTAACAAAAAACAGAAAAATCATGTTTTCCATTTTCTCCTTATAAAAGCATATAAAAAGTCAGCGACTGAGCTGGAGGCCATGCTGTCATCCTGCGTAAATCTCAAATCAAAAGTGTGAATAGTGTGTGTGTGTGAGTGTGTGTGTGTGTGTGTAGCATTATAGTTAGAGTGCTAACCTTTAGGCTAATATTAACATTACATGCCTATGCTACCCCTTTAACCACAAATCATACTCTTGGGCTAATAATGAAAGTTAACAACAATGACATTAACAGATACCACAGGAATATTTACAACACAGGGGCAGAGGGCGCGCCAGGGGGCTTATTTCAGCTGGACGGGTTTAGTAGGTGTGTAATAAACATGTAAAACAACCACCGGCTCTCACAGTGAGAATCATTTGTTAGTATGAGCCATATTTTATAGATTGAACGAATAAAAATTTGTATTTTCCAAGATAAAGGTTAGAATGTTATGTGCCCTTTCTCATTGTCAAAGTAGAGAGTCTCTAAAAACTTTTCCAGCCTCAATCAATCCTAAGCTTGTTTGTTCCTACTGACGTAAATCTTTAAGGAAAGAGGGTCAAAAATTTACAGTTTGATTTTTAGAAAAAGATGAATCACATCTGAGCCCTGTCAACAGCGATAAATAGTTGATTTGTTGGGGACTATTTTCAGCAGCGGATTAATTTAACACAGTCGGTGCTGGTGTGAGTGTTTACAGCAGCGGGGTGTGTTCAACATAATGAAGAAACACGTCAGCCAGAGTAACAACATGACTCATGATGTTGTGATTTGGACAACAGCTGATCTCTATGACAGAGAATGATGTATTAGAAGAATATCCTCAGTATTTGTTAGTCTAAGTTCCTTTAAGAATTATATTATATTAATAGGGTGACAAAAAGGAAAATCACATGTGATCCTTTACATCAAATATGCTTCATACAGGTGTATTTTACCTCTGTCAAGAAGGATTACGCAAAAACTACTGAACCAATTTCAAAGAGACCATATCATTTTGGTGCAGATCCGGATAAAAGAGAGAAAGGGTTTTAGCCTTGGCAGACGTTTGTGCTCTCAATGTGATCTTATAATTTTTTAGAAAACAATTTTACCATTTCAAGTGAACAAACTTTTTAAAAAAAATCAATAATAAAACAATAAAGCTTGTGAGGAGCTTGGTGTGTTGAAAGGTTTGGACAATGCTGTGTTCAAATCCACACTGAAGATGTAGAGCGCATTTACCTGATTGGCTCTTTCCAGGTCTGTCATCACCATCTCAATCTCATCGGCCCTGAAAGAGACATTAACTATTAATGCAGAGAAACACACAGCAGAGCATGTGACAGTGCTTAAAAGAGACTCACTGAAATACAGCTCACAAAATGAAAATAAGGAATGGGTGAGTGGAAAGATGACGTCACATGTTTGTGCGATTGTTCTGAGAGCACGTACATTTAGAGAATGTCAGTGCCGTGTCCATTAAGCTACTGTCTAAATTTCACCTTAATCCATTGATTGTGAACTCCATAACCCAAACAGCTTGTATGTGTGCGTGCATACATGTATATAAGTGTGCGTGCGTGTCTATGTGTGTGGGTGTGCACATGTAAGCCCCTAAACCCAGGCCACACTAAAACAGAGGGATTACATTAATAGAGCTCTAAGTCCTAATACAGCAGACTAATCTGCTATGAAGCTGTGTGATTGTGTCTGACTAATGGTCTGGATGGAGGCCATGGTTCACCTCTCACTTGCTAGAGGTCAGACAGCAGGAATACATCCCCATAATACCACCTCTCATTGGACTTGGAAAAATAGTTTAATAACCCTGTTTCATGAGGGAAGTGAACACCTATCACTTTCCTGCAGACAAAGAGAGATGTGGAAGAAACTTTGTGGAGAAACCAAACAACACTAAACCCAGACACACAATATACATTCATATTTTTGTTATTTCAGGTTATATACCGCAAACTATCAGAATTATCTTAATATGATTCCCCTGTGTGTTAATAAGTTGCCAGGGTGCATGTTTGAGTTCGCCTTTCAAGATACATTTTTAATACACGTCTCTGTATGATGAAGTTGCAATGAACAAATGCATTGGAAACTTTATGCATATAGTGTTCAGTGGAGTGTTAAGATGCCGCATGTGTGCGTGCGTGTTTATCTAAGACACTACTCGCTGATAAGAATACACGGGCGCTGTTGAGTGCAAAGATGTGAGCGCGTATGTGCGCTGCTGCGTCCATTAAGACCTTTTGATTTCACTGCAATCTTTTGATAGTGAACCCAATAACCCACGCAGCTTTTGTGTTTGTGTGTCACAGTATGAGAAACAGTGTTATATCCCATAGGCTTGAGTACTACTGATTTGAATGTGTTTAACAAAACAGACACAGTTGATATTAGGTCAACGTTGTGCCACAGGCAATGCAGCAAAAAGAGTCAGATGTGGGTGGGAGAGCTTTTCACTCTCCGCTTTTATTCTTTCCCCAACAGTTAAAAGGATCTAGTATGCATTTAAGCAACATAATAGAACGCTACCTCACCAGCTTTTATCCTGTCTTAAGCTATAGTGTGCCGGACCCACGTGCACGGTCAATTGTGCTCCCGCACAAACATGCGGGGTCAGAGAGCCAACAAGCCAGAAAAGCTTGTAATGGAGAGTGTTTATGTGTAGTAATGCAACCCAAATACACCACCATTCCTGCTCCAAATGTGATCATTTAATCAAAGTACAGATGCACAAAGTCTTCTTAAATAACCTTTGGATTTGGCTGTATTTGGGAATTATAAAGGCAAAGCTAGAGGCAGAGGGCCAAAGCAGATCACAGGGAAGGGATTTTCTGCATATCCTGATACAGTCAGTCAGTCGCTGGGCAGGGCAGGAACTGTCCATGGCCAACCAATGCACCCAGTGGAATTACTTCATCAAACACTGAACTGTAAAGGTTGGGTCCTTCAAAATGATAAATCCTGATTTTACACCACCAAAACTTAGCTGCGAAGCTCCATACAGCAGCCACAGGGAGGAGCTATGGAGTAGATGCACAGCTCCAGTGGAAAAACGCACACATAAAAAACGCACACTTACACACACTCTTTTGTACCATGAAAGCCAATGGGTGCACCCAGTGACATCAGTGAGTACTGTAGGACTTCTGAAACAAGCCCAGAGCCTCTAAGCCCCTACTGTACTTCCTCCATCTCAGACAGGCCTTTTCATCTCTTATCATCTTCTCTCTCTTTTGCTCCTCACTCAACTGCTTTTCTCTTCCACCCTCTGCCTGCCTCTATCCTTTCCCCCCCAACCCGTACCCTTCCTATTGCCCTCCACTTTCTCTCCTTTCATCTTTTTTCCTCCTTCCACCTCCCTTCTCTCATCTTTTGCCCTCTCTTCCTCGGCCTCTGTCCTCGGTGCCAGCAGGATATTCCCCTGATTTAGATTTTCATTTCCCTCCTCTATCACGCTCTTATCCCCTCTTCCTCGCTGTAGCCTGCAGCCCCTGGCTCACTTTTTGCCCTCTAGCTTTCATCACTCCATTCCTTTTCTTTCCTTGGCTTTCTCCACATTGCGTTTTCACAGCGTGTTACCTTGGGGATTTCAAGGAGGCTTAAAAAGAAGCTAGCTGAGAGAGTGTGTCTATCTGTGCATGTATGTGTGTGTGCTGCACCATTTTGTGTTTGTGTACACTTGAGATGGACAGCAGAGAGAAAAACCTATTGAAAAACCTAATTATCAGCAATTAAAATTTACCCAAAGCGGTATCAAGTGTTTATACACAGATAAAGCTGCACACAAACATACAGAGGAGCATGCACACACACATTCACACACAGACAGCATCCTGTGGGGCAAGGGATCAATATATCATTAATCTTTAACAGGGACTAAACGGGTAAAGCGCAGCCAGCTAGACCCTCACAGCGCCAGCACAGAGAGGGGGCTATGCTACATCTGCAAGCCCGCCTCCCGCTGACGCTCACACACTCTGGGCACTGCAACATCGACCAAATTCTCAGGCAGTGTGTGTATGTCCCTGTGTGTGTGTATTTTAAAAGGCAGATTACCCAAATGCAGCAAGAGGATGGGGGATTTGTCACGCAATGTCCTCCTTAGTGGAAAGTTTAGAGCAAGTGAGAGTGTGTGAGAGTGTATGCGTGTGTGTGTGCATACGTCTGTGTTTGTGTGAAAAAGTGCATGATATGGATGCCGTTTGTGTTTTGAAGAGCCAAAATATATGCAGTCAAAGGGTTAAAAGTTGTGTTCAGCCAAACACTGGCGATTTGCTCAGCCAAGCAGTAAACGGGGGAAGGACTCCAAGGACTGGGAGGGTGCAGGGTTAGAGAGGGTTTGTGTGTGCTTTAAAGCGTTGCATTAAAATTTCAGATCACAGCACGCCACATAGTCAAGGACCCTGACTGCCTCAGGCTCACAAGTGAGCGAATGAGTGTGTGTGTGTGTGTGTGTGTGTGTGTGTGTGTGTGTGTGTGTGTATGTGGGCGGGCATGTGTTTATTAGCTTCTGTAAGCAAATGGGGCCTACTATATCTTTTCAAAATGTGTTTTCTTCTGACATAAAAGGAAGAGACAGCGATGGAAAAAGGAAGAAAGAAGTGCAAAGAAATGAGAGAAAAGTAGAGGAGTGGGAAAATAAAGCGTTGTGGGGGGGGGGGGCTCTGAAACCTACTGATTATAGCCATTACACTGCATGTAATATCTTCCTGTGGCCTATCCTCTTACACACACAAACGCACAATGCAGGAGATAAAAGATAAAGTGTGGGATTGAGGGAGGTGGAAAAGAAGGGGGGGGGGGGGGGTTTGTGAAGATGAGAGAAAAGGGATCAATCTGTTTTTAACAACGAATCAATTTAACAACTCTGTTAATGGAGACACAGTGAGTTTGGGGCATGGTAAATGGGGATAGGGGAAAACCTTAAAAGCCAAGTTGATACTCTGTCGTACTTCGTGTGTGGGGTGCGTCAGGATGCCCTTGACAACCTTTGATTAAAAAAAAAAGGGCAATTTTCTCTTCGAAGAATTGGAAAGTTTAGCTTCTTTCGGACATGCACTGAACATTCTCCAGAGAGGCTGTATGTGAGAGCGCAAATGTCCGTGTGAGAGGCTCCTGCCAGCCCCCTAGTAAAAGCTCTGGATAATGAGAAAAGAGCAGGAGATCCTGTGAAGGATTCACCATGAGCGAGTGTGGTGTCGTTGATGTTTCTAACACATGATGGACACAAAAATAAAAGTAGAAAGAAAAATGAAGAAAACAAATACCTCCAGATGAAAACATGAACACCAATGAACATGTCTAGAGAGCTTTTGTTGATTATGGTCGACGCTAGTGATGAAGCGCTGTCAATAACAACACGTGATCACTGCAACAGAATTTATACGTCCTGCCTCCTGTATGTCCTTGCCTGAACGCTCCAGAGAATTCTGTGTTGTTGTGAACGCTTCTAACCGGAGAATCTCCTGCTGTGTCGTTCATGTGTGAAAAGCAAACTCCAGAGAAAGTCTAGACCCAACAGTGTGGACATTTTCCAGAATACATGTTTGAAAACTGCTTTAGTGAACGTGGTTCAGATGCTTGAGTGGTTCACGTTACAAACCCAGAGGGAACGACGAGTGTGAATGTCATAAAGTGCCACTTCACAGTGTGGAGTGGTGACATGGAAAAGCTTCTGTTCTTATCCTCGCCACTGCTATAAGATCAATAATGATAGATGCCCACAGCTCAAGTAATTGAAGCAACCTTATCTCACAGGTCCTGTCAGAAGCCTTTGTGGCTTAAAGTCTGAGATCTCACAGCGACCCTCTGTGGCCTGCCCTCTCTGGCCCGACCCGGATGAATCAGAGCCATCACTTTAAAACTACAGCATCAAAATTAAATAAATAAATAACAAAAATCTCTATTTTGGTGCTTTGCTGTAGCTGCAGAATGCATTACAATCCCTGTCAGTATTTACAGTGCGTGGGTAATGCTGGGATTTGGAGGCTGCTGAGCGTTGTGGGAGACGATCCAGCTGTTGGGGTGAGAAGGGGGGAGTTTCCAGGCAAGGATATTCACTAAACAGGATGATTATGTCAGGAACAGACTATGGAGGAGCCAGAGGGGAAAAGTCACCCGCAAACACACACATAGATCAGCGAGACACATACTTTGCTGTGGATTCCTCGTCATACTTTGTCTTCAAATCAAAGAGCTCGGCCTGAGTTGTTTCAAGTGCTGTAAAAGACGAGAGAGGAGTTGGTTGTGAATTTCCCTGCCACACATCCAAATTGAAATGAAAAACTGTGACTGCTGTGTAATTTAAACTTTTAACGCTGTCAAAAAACATTCTTAAATCAGCTTCTTCTTAATACGAGCTGCACTCCTACACGAAGACGTGATTTTCCAAAGTAACAATAGTTAAATATTACACAGTAAAGGTTTCGGTTTCTAGCTTCTGAAACCGAAACCTTTCCGTCAATCTGATCAAACCACACCCATGTAATCCAGATGAAGCAGATTCAATTTTCAAATGTTACATTAAATTAATAATGACTGGGGATTTGTTCCCCTACTTTTGCAATCAATGAACATTTAATGAGAAATACTTGAGATCTGAAACACATTTTCAGAGGCTTTAAAGCCAGTGCGACTTCCTTTTCATTGATTAAAGCTGCCTTTTTATTTGAGCTGGTTAAATCAGTACCCAGTTCTGTAAAAAGACTGAGCAGGCTTGGTACCTGTCTGTAGGGACTGGGCCTTGTGTTCAGCCTCTTCTAACCTCGAGGACATGGAGTCCTGGCTCTCCTGGAGTTTCCTACAGACGCAGACAAGAAGGCAAGGAAAAAAAGAGAGGGAGCAGAAAGTCACAGTTAAGAGATACTGAGTCAGTAAATCCTGGTTTCACACTTTGTGGCAACTGCAACTATTCTCTGTTTTCCCACCATTTCTGAAGTGTTTTCCCCACTAAAAACCTCCCAACACAACCCACTCCTCATTAAGCAGCCCTATTAGGCAGGAATGTCTGGCCACTGGGGCACAGTGCACCCAGGGGGTGGGGGAGAGAGAGAGAGAGAGAGGAAGAGAGAGCAAGCGTTGAGTATGAGAAGGGGGAGGCAGTGACAGAAACCACAAGGATAAAATAGATTCATTCTTAGCATATAAAAAGTTGGGCTCTGCTGAGAAATTACCACTGTGTGTAAAAACATCAATAATATAGCACAAAGACGCTCTTTATGGCGCTCTTTGATGCCCCCCTTCTCAACCAATCTGTCTCTCCTGTCATCTCTATTTTTCTGCCCTCTACTTCATCCTTTCATCTCGCTCTCCCTCTCCTTCCCTCGCTCCTTGCAGGATAAACTGCATCAAAGGTGCCATCCATTTACTGCCCCTCTCAGACACAGGAAGTCAGCTCTCTGCAGACAGGAAGGGGCCTATAAAACACTGACGTACAGGAAATACAGTTGGACAATTGATCCTCTGCTGTATGTCTGAAAGGAGCGACGAGCTTTAACGTGGCTTCGCACAGTGAACGAGATGACTGACATGAAAGAAAACATGAAGACTGTGATGTGTGTTTAATGTACACACGCGTCATTAATCAACTTGAAGTGTCAGAGACTTTTCAGAATCAAGATCCTCTCAAGTGTCGTAATGACTTTGTCACAAACATTTTAGCAACACTTTGAAACTTTGATAATACAGCAAAGAGTTTTGCACTCTTTAACATATCCTGTCCAAACTAGTAATGTTGCAACAAAGAGATTGAATGCAGCATTAAAAACAATTCTCACTGATTAAAGGAGGTTATGTTTTAGTTTTGTCTTGTTATTTAGCAGGATTATGCAGACACTACTGGTCAGATTACCACCAAACTTCCTGGAAGGATGTGGTGTGGGTCAGGGAAGAACCCATTCAATTTTGGTGCACAACTCAATCAGAAAGTTAAATTTTGTATTTACTTTCTTTAACATTGTGTGTAAAGCGTTTTGCTAAATTTCCCTTTATTTGTCAGAGAATAATTCATGGATCTTAATAAAAAAATGAGGCATGTTTAGTAGACTGATATTTGTGTGCAATTTGGGGCAAATCCAAATACAACTGCAGATGTAGTGAATTTAAAAGTGGTTTCATGAGGGGACTTTTGGACCTGATGTTCTATAAAATGAACTAGTGCAATAACCTGTCCAATAGAAACATTTATATTTTCAACTAAACTTTCTTTTAACAATTTCTCTTTGACAGGACATGCAGCTTGCCACCTTTATATTCCTGAGAAGTTTACCAGTATTTAAACTTTAACAGTTTTGAGTTAATATATAATTGTTACACTGTATGGGGATGTGTGGTGTAACACTGAAATATGCTCATTAACGCGGCCCTGGACACCCTCTCCATACTGTGCTGCTGCACGCTATGTATTGAATTTCTTCTAAATCTATTGGTTGAAAGGTTTCAGTTGTATTTCCTCTCCATGGTAGATTTTGAGTTATTGCATGTCCATCATAGCCTTTAACTCCTGCTCACCTGCAGTAAAAAATATGCTGCCTCTTAGTCCCCCAAGACTGCAGCAGCTAATCATGAGCTCACCATTTTAACTGTTTATTTATCCCTTTAAATCAAAATAGGAGCACGTAGTTATCCACGATGACTACATTTAAGACTGACAGGTCGATTCTCCAGCTGCACTTCACAAATTTAACTTGGCTTCACATGATAATTTAACAGGGTCAACTTCATATTAGTCTGGAGGAACTGAACAATGTAGGAGGAAAGGCGCCAAAGCCAGTTGTAAAGTGAAACAACATTATTGCTGCCTGCAACTTAGGCAATTAGTTTAATCGTCTTTATGTTGAATGGGTTCCTTCCTTGGAATGGACAGTATCAGAGTGACTACAGGAATTCTAGCCTTTGTATGAATTAATACGTCATTTCAGGAGTTAGAATTGATTTTTTCATGTTCCTAAAATATGAAGCAACAATTTTAAGCCTATTTATTACTGGAGGAGGTTGTATTTGAAAATCACACACTTCAATATACCTAAGAGAGAGGGTTGAAAAGGAACTTACGTATTATATCAAAGTGAATTTCTTTCGATTGATCAAAATAAAAAAAAGACACCTACGCATGATTTTTATCAATATATTCAGGTGGTAGAGTTTGTTCTGTTATGTGGTGCTGCAGCAGCAATTATTCTGAACAAAATGGCTGAAACATACTGTGGCACAGACGGAAACTAAAGCCTGTTGTTGATTCCCATCAAGGAATGAATTGCAAGCACCCACATGAGCAAAAAAAATGCTGACATTGTCTTATATGTTGGTTATTTCTCATTCATGCATTCATCTGCAAAAGCAAAGCATCGCCAGAGAATGGGCTTCAATTTTCTGATTCAACAGATAACTATGAGAAAAAGCCAAACGATTATTATCTAAGAAGAAATGAAGTTGTAAATAGCTCCTGCTAAATAAAGTCTAAAAATCTTAAACTTGTGGTTCAAAGATTAAAATCAAAGCACTTCTGTCTGAGGGCACAATGACCCAAAGCTTTCAAATGGCAAAATAATGCAGAGGTTATTAGTTGAAACACAGTGACAGTAGAGCTCACAAAAACACACAGGGGGCAGACAGTTATACCTCTCCTTCTCTGCATAGTCGTTGTGTAGCTGGAGCTGCTTTTCTTGGGCCAGGTCCTCGGCTTGATTCTTCAGAGACTGCTCGTACTCTCGGATCTTCTCCTTCAGGGCCTTGATGGTGACCTCTGGAGGAGCAGTACGGGTATTGAGAGAGTAAGAAGGAGGGAAGAGTCAAAATACAGGAAATAAAAACATAGAAAGAACAGATATATAGAAGTTTCATATGTGTGATGAATGGCTGTGATGACGATGATGCTTTGACCTTTGCTTTAGGAAAAGGGTTTCATATCCCACATTCTTCCTCTGTCAGCACAGACGAAGCCCTCAGCCCCTATGGCTCCTGCCTAATCTTTACATCCACAGGCTGGTGTAGAATATTCAACGTTCACCAACGTTAGATTATGCTGTATTCATTAGGACTGCATTAGTGCTGAAACCCCATAACCTGCTGACGGCTGAGCTCTGTATGGGGCAGCCTGAAATAAATCTAACACATAACTGGGGTAATAAATAGACCTGTGGGTGTGTGTGTGTGTGCGCGCGTGTGTGTGTATGTGTCTCAGAGAAAGATATAAGTGAGTGAGACAATGATGAAGAGCATTGCTGCTCGCTGCCTTTGACTGAGGGCTCTTAGCACTTTGTGTGCGTGTGTGTGTGTGTCTGTGAGAGCATGTGTGTGTGATTTAAACTCCAGTCTCACTGCTCTGACACATAATCAATAGCGGAGAGTCCCCTCAGAGCCCTCTTACCCCTTAACTGCTTAACTGAACTTTAAACATTTAGGTTGCGGGGATCAATGGCCCCTGCACTCTTTGTATGTGTGTGTGTGCAAGTGTGCGGGCGGGTCCGTGTGTGTGTGTATAACAGGAGTGGGAGTTCCACGGTGTGTTTTGGGGTTTAAATATCCCCCATCTATTGAGGCTGGAAGGAGGGATAAAGGATGAGGGAACAGGAAAATCAATGGCAGAATGGAACCCTGCCGCTATCGAGCTGTTCCAATTAACTCTCACTGAGGAAAGGGGGGATTCCAAAACATTCCCCACTCGCTCACTCACTCCTCCTTTTCGACTGAAATTACACCACTTTTATTACCGCTTCTCACTTGTCTCTCTACCTTTGTCAGTTTTTCCATCTTTCTTTACCCTGAGGTAGCCTGTCATTTTTTATTCATGAAACTGTGCTTCGTATTTTTTTCCCCCTGAAAACCTATTTGAAAATGTAAAACCGTGTACATTTTTTGTGTTTTTGAAAAATTTATAAGGCATTAAAATATGTTCAAATAAGGGCTCTCTCTTTGAAAAAGACTTAAGATATGTTTCTTTGACCTTATTATATATTTGCACTGAGAAGTTGTCTGCACACCATGAACATAAAGATCAAATGGTGAAATGAATCTTGAAGTACAGAAGCAAAAATGTGGTAAATCATTTTTGTCTCAGTTTTACATGAAAAGATTTTGCTGCTTTTTCAGATTAATGTTTTAAGTGTAGAAGTGTTACTCTCCACCTATTTATACATTATTACATCAGGTGTAGCTACGACACAAACTGGAAATATGTTGAGAACGATTTATTCTTTCTTGTCCAGTTTCATAGCCTTAATATTTTGCTTTATTCCTGCACACAACCATCCAACCATGTCACTTCAGGTCACTCTATGAATGCTCTCATCTTTTTTTGTTTTGGTCTTGTGTAAATGATCATAATGGTAAGAGAAAGGCCATATACGAGACTGAAATATTAAAATTTTGATGTGTGATTATCTGTGCGGCCTATATCCATGCCCTTGTCAAAGTCCCACAGTATAATCCCAAAAATGTCCGTGTGTGTCTGCACGTGTCCCCTCTCTAACCTTGGTTTTTGACCTCTGCAAACTCTTTGTTGTAGTCCTCCAGTGTCTCTCGAAGTTTGGTGTTCTCGGTCTCAATGTCGTGCATCCTCTGGAGCTTCAGCTGCAGCTGCTGAGCCAGCTCCAGCACAGGTACAGGATCTGGCAGAGACAGCACACACTACGTTAACACAGTGTAGCAGATTACACAAACAAGGGCTGCGAGGTGGCGTGGTGAGCTCGGAATAACTACATTCCAAGGCCCTGCGAGAGTGAGCGCTTGCCCTGGTAAAGTGTCCTTGAGCAAGGCAATGAATCTCTAACCGCTGCAGGAGAACTGTTCCGGAGCTCACCCTGACCTCTGACCTCCCTGTGGAGAAATACTGATTACTGCAAAGAACAAAAAATATACATATCACAGGTACTAGCACTGTTGTGATAAGGTGAGTTATATACAGAGCTGAGGCAGAGAACATGATACAGAACTAATAGCATCTGAGAGTGTCAGACAGATTAATGAACTATCAAAGGGTTCTGTAGGTAGTTTGACAGATATGTGCAGTAATTCAACCATAAACATTTCAAGATACATCCTCTTAAATATTTACACATTGTTTTAAAATCGGAGTTTAACATAGCGTGTGCTGTATGTGTATGTTTTTACAGTTTAAAAATGGCTGCAATCTTGTATTAGTGTCATCATTGATAATGACGTTTATCGTTCAACAAGAAAACATCCCATTCTGTACATGTCTTTATCACAAGCAAAATAAATAAAGGGCAATATGTTTTTACTAGGTTTTAATTGTTTTCAAAGAATGAACAGTATCGGCCAGGCTCTACTGTAGATACTCGCAAAAAACTTCACAGATTAGAAAGAGAAGAACAGAACAGAGATTTGATTTAAAACACACATCTCTGAAAGGTCATAGTTTGCTTTCACATTCTGTATCAACTACACTGTATCCATAAAGGCAACTGAATGACACACTATCAGCCTTTGTATCAACAAAGACTAGTGTTGGTTTATGAGATAAACTTTGGTTTTGTAGAGGGGAAAATGAATGTGTCACATGCTGACACAGCAAGAGAAATGAATAAGCGATAGCAAGAGAGTAACATAGATGAGACACATTAACAACAGAGATTACTGGGCTATGATCAGTTTAAGTGTTTTCTATGATTCTGCTTAAAAGCGAGAAAAAAGGGAAACATGGGAGCAGACAGATGGACAAAGTGGAGCTGTAAAACAGGCGAGGCAAGAGGTAAATAAGAGATTAAAGAAACAGAGGGAGAAGGAAGAAAGACAAGTTTCTGGAGGCATTTCACCAACATCTCTGTGAACACACAGCAGGGTTAACTGTCAGTGTGATGAAGAGAGCCCTGTCAGTCAGGCCAATCACATCTGATTGGTGCTCATGGGTGGCAGACTGGTGACAGGCAGCCAAGAGACGCAGGCGATGCTCATCAGCATGCCAGCTAAAAGAGCAGTTTTTGTGTGTGTGTGTGCGTGTTTATGTGTGTGTGTGTGCGTTGTACAGATAAGAGGAACTGACAGCTTACAGCTGGGGGTAAGGGCTGCGTGTGTGTGAATGTGTGTGTTTGTGCATGCATGTGTGTCTCATGTCTGACGCAGTTAGATATCTTAACTATGCTAATGAGAGATCAGCAGAGAACGATTGGGGAATTTCATGCTGATTTTGTGCTGTCAAGGTGACACACCATGCAGGGCTAAGCTCTCACACACACACAGAGACAAATAAACACCTTGTCACAAACACAAGTGCGCACTCACATAGATTCTCATATAAATTTATACAAGTACAAACAAACATTGAGGAACAATAAGCGTATACTCTGAATTTGGACTCCTATCTGCCTTTGTGCCCTTGAAAATCACATTTCTCTCCGTCTTATCAAAGCTTTGCCCTTCACATAGGCCCCTCTCCGAATCAACTGTACAGCTTGTTAAAAGCAGTTTGACTTGTGGGCAACTGGTGCTCAACGCTCTTGCCAGACACCTTTAATCTAAAGCAGAGCACACACTGGGCTGACTAACCAGGCCTTCAGCTGATAGAAAACAGAACAAAACACACTGTTTCCTCTTTCAAGACTGCTGCATTAGTCAGGCTGGTCTGTGTCTGTGTGCGTGTGTGCATCAGGCATTACATCATTGTCTCGCTGCAAGTTAAGAATAGCCCCGTCAGAGCTGGCGCTGACTTATTGGGAGCAGTACAATCCAAAGATATTACTGTAGGTCTATCCATGTGGGACTATGATGACCTCCTTACGCTATAGATGAACTCAACTCCTCTCCCGTTCCTACACGGCCCCTCCTCGGCTCCCATACAGCCGAAAACCTCCAACTAGTAGCACTGTGACTGTGTGTGTTCTGTAACACCCTGTGCTGCGTGTCCCTCCTCGGCCTCAGTGTGCTGAACGTGACTGCTCATGTGTGCACTTTGCAGCAGCCAATCGTGGGCGGACTTGTCATCCATATCAGGATGCACCTTCTGTTAAGACCCTCTAAAGGCTACACCAGTGGGGATGATCTCTTGGGGAACACATTAAGGCGTTGAACATGCCTGGATGCACAGTGAAGGAGCACCAGAGGGACAGTGTCATGCTTATTCGCTTCCCTTTTGGTGCTGTCTGCGTGGATAAAGGGGCCTCTTGATCACGTCTTTGGACTTGGGAGGTGTGGCGAGACAAACAAATAGGCAGACAATAATTTTATAAAACACAGTCTTACCTGGGACATCGATTATTTTCTTGTAGACATTCAAGAAGGCGGCCTCTGCTTCTTTACTTCTCTTACTCAAGGCATCGATCTGGGAGGAGGGGGGGAAAGTAATGGTTAATTGTCATGCGCACCAACCTCAGATCAGTGTCACATCCATAGATTCCAAAGGCAGACGCATTAATTTCACAGTAAGGGTAGTCTACATATCTGTCTATCCTCACTATGCATTGGTATGTTGCATGCGATCATGCCTGTCTTGACAGTGGCCGCGTTGGTGTTTCCTTCCCGTGAAGTCAGTTCAGCTGTTCAGCCGATGACGGATGCGTTTCGTTTGCTGCATGCCCGAGTCTGTCTGTCCTCGAGTGAGTGTTCCTTAGTCCGTTGGTCTGTGTGTCTGTGATTGTGTGTGTGTGTGATTGTGTGCGCGCCTGTGTGCGAATGCGTGTTCGTTTCCCCTCCAGCACGCTGACATCATTAAACAGCTGGCTCAGTCTTTCCAGCCACAGCAGGGGTAGATTATTCAGTCAGCTCTTAGCAGCAATACAGTGTGGATCCATTACTGATGCAGCCATTAACACAAGAGGGCACGGCATGCATTCCATCACCGATATTATTGAAATGGACAGCATTAGAACTGATCCATAAGAGATTAATTCTAAAATGGTACTGAAAGAACTTTTACAGTGTTTTCAATGCTGCAGCATGAGGCAGCGCTCTGGGCTGCAGTCCCTGTGTCACACTTCAATATGAGAAGCAGACAGAGTAGGCGAAACGCATCTGAAATCACATCTAAATCGAAGGAAACAGATGCCAAATAAAGACATTCAGATGGTGCTACTGTACTGGGCAGAGCTACAGCTGACTACTCTGGCTCACGCACTCAGACTAAACAGCCTTGTGTTTCTCTTCCAACTCCTCCAGCACATTTGCTGAGAGAAAAGGAATAAAGACAAAAGCCTATATAAGTCCAAATATAAAGTCTTCACATTCCCAGCCAAGCCAGTAGTGTAGTTGATGGGTGGTTTAGGGGTTCTTGCCACTGTAAACAGAGCGGGCTACATGTAATACTGCCTGGGCTCCTATGGGAACCTAATAAATCTCTTCACATGGCTTTGATTCATCTCTAGTTTTTTAGCCGCAAAACATCTGGCCCCGAGTAGGCTGGTGCCAGCAACCCCCCCTCCCCTCTGCGCTCCTTCTGTTGCTCAACGTCTTTCTCCTATTCTCTCTCTCTCTCGAATTCTGCTTCTTGTCACTTTCATGTTCTCTGACTCATATTTTTTTTTCTTTCCCTCAATCATTTTCAGTGTCAGTCTTTCTCACATGTCTCTCTGGCATGCTTAGGGCTCCCGTCTTGTTCTTCCTCTCCCTCACACACATACACAGGCTCACGCACACAAACGCACACGACTATATCTCATTCTCACATCATGCTGCATCATGTACCTTATCCTTTTCATGTGCTCTGTGACATTGAGTGATCGGATCCTCAAATGCAACGCCACTAATGGGAGATTACTGATGCTGAGTACTAATACCTCTCACACACCAACACCGAACCTGTTCATCTGTGTCCAAATGTGAATGTGTGTGCACATATATATATATATATATATCAGCATATGTGAATTATGTAGTACCACAGCATTATAAAGAATAAAGAATAAAACACACACTCACAAACTGACGCAAAAAATGATGTGCCGATGGCAGCGAAGGAAGCCAGCTGCGTGACTGTACAATGACTGGGCCAAGGTCAGTGGTACAGCAGCTTTATATAGCCCAACATGGGAGGCAGGAAATAGACATTTAATGTAGGACACACCCTACAGTTAGAGGCAGGTTAACTGCAGGACCAGAGCCATTAGAAGACCACCCAGGATTTGCAAATACAACCCTGCTGTTCCAAACTTCAGCTCTTTCAACCAGTCCCAATGACATCTGCTATTACATGCTCCCCTGCCCCCATCCCACACACACCCAAACAAATGAAGTGACACAAATGATACCTCACCAGTATCAGTAGGTTACCGATGAGAAGTGCTTGCAATTGCAAAAGGTATCCCTGACACATCCACACACACAAACACATATGTACATACGTCAGCACCCTGTGCCACCATCACTCAGCACTGCCTCGTTCTCCTATCTAACCCATAGTGTGTGAAGGGCATCAGGCTGACCTGCGTGTGTGCATGTGCGTATGAGAGAGTGTGTGTGTGTGTGTGTGTGTGGCCCCAGTGGAGTCTGATAAGGCAAAGCTATGGGAAGCAGAGACTGAAGCCTTGGATAATGGAAAAGCTTATCAGATCGATGGACCAACAAGGAACACTGCATACATGCAATACACACACAGACACACACACACACACACACACAAATAACCGGTTTACCAAACTGAGGCCTCGTGGAAACAGTACTGTTATTGGTAATAATTATGACCCAAGGGCATCCACCTTTCAATGCCCAAGATCTAACAGAGTATCAAGACCTTCAAGTTCCTAGGCTAAAACTTTATTGTTCTTTCTAGGTTTCGCATTCACTTAGTAAAGATTCAAGCTCCTGGGTAAAACGTTTAAGGAGGAATTACTGTGGGACTTCAACAGGAAGACCCTCTGATTTCTAGTGCTGTCTTGTCCTTGATCAAAGCATCGAGGGGTAAGCAAACAAAGCCGGGCTAAAATTACACATTCTCAGAGCTACTCATGTTGTGGCATGCAAGCGTGCAGAATAGTCGACTGATTGATGGGCTGCTCTGAGACTGGCGCGGGTGTACAGTATTATCTCAATAATCATAAGATAATGTCTTTCTCAGTTCCGCGACCACCCACTAAGCGTCTCAGCGTGTTCTGGTGTGCACGCCGTCGAGGTGTGTCAACACAAGGATGGTGGAAACAGCTGACAAAGCCCCAATTATACTGCTGCCGTTTCTATTCTCTAAATAGACTGTGGATCATCAGCAGAACATGGTGGAACCACTATAAATTACAGCATTTTTACATAACCACTGGCTGTGGTTGCTGCTCTAACACAAGAATATGGAAACTAACCCAGTGTTAAACTGTAATAGTCTATGGCCAGTAGCAAAACAGCCCTGTCACTATCTATTGAGATGATTTGGTTTGTGCACATTTGTGTGCTTCCATGTGTGTGTGCTAGGGAAGGGATATTATGAGGCTGAATGTCCACCCACTACCAACCCCAAATAATGCCCCAGTCTAAACCGGTCGCTTCCACTCCTACCCTCTGACTTTCACATATGGGAGTGAACTGGAAATGCATGGCTGCCAGTAAGGAGGAGTCATGATGGAAATAGGCCAAAATGATGGAGGAGGAGATAGAGAGGAACAGTGGGAGTATGATATAGCACACACACACACACACACACACACACANCACACACACACACACACACACACACACACACACACACACACACACACACACACACACACACACACGAAAGTCACCTCTTATAAGTTAAGGTACATAAAAACTTAGGGTGCGACATTACATTGAATGTGAATAAATGTGCCACATATAACAAAAGTGTCTCATGATTCAGGAAAAAACAAAACTAACCCTACCGAATAATGCAGACAAAGTCAGAGGAAATAGCATTTGGTGAGTTGTGACTGGCTAGAGCCAGGGTTTTGTGGTGCCTTTTTTTGCAGGATGCAATTTAAACACACCCTCGGGCTGCAGGACTTCATGAATAGGACAGAAAATCAAGAGCAGAGCAGAGCGAAGAAAAGATGGAGAGGAAAGAGGGGAAATGAGATAGTGGCAAGAGAACAGGGGATGGTGAAGAAAAGAGAGGAAGGAAAGGGAGAGAGAGAGTGATGACAATTCAAGAGGAAAGATGAAAGTGGTAAAAGGAGAGATGGGCCCTGAGAGATGGCCTTTACAAAATGCATTGTCTCAATGCTGTGCTGGGGCATGTACAGTATGTTTATCAGTATTTCAATATGAATTCGCTATAAGACACTCACCTCTCCTTGGAAGCTCTTGAGCAAGGGGGCGACCTGTTTCCGTAAATCCTACAAAATAAAGAGGAGAACAGGTTAGTCAGTCTCATGAGATAATCAACTGATCAATTTTAATCCCATTTCAATCCTAACTAGACAGGAACATGTGGAAGTGATGTTTACAAGCATTGACAACTTAATGAGTTTTATGCGAGTAGACAAATACTGTAAGAGACTCATTATTTTCTACTAGAGACCATTCTTGCCACTGCCAATGAATTAAGAGTAGTGCGTGAGTGAGTGATGAACATGAGGGTAGGGAGGAGGACAGGTTTGTACCCTGAGGTTCTCTGGCGGACTGCGTTTCTCATTAGAACAGGTGCAGCACCACCTGGGCCACCCAGAGGCACCATTAGCGCGTGCGAGACAGAGAGTAGATGAGCCACAGCGTAGGCCTACGGTTGATGCAAATTGTCCCGTCGCACTTTTTTTTTTACTGTAAAGCAAATGCTTTTCATCCTGCGAGTCCCATTGCATGACTTTCCAGTACGAGTCAACGGATTCCGATTAGATAGCCAGTTGAGTATGTATCAAGGGAACATGCAAATCACCGTGCTGTTAGCTGAGCCTACATCCTGACAAACTGAACTGGAGCGTACGGTAAAAAGCACAGCAGAATAGGACATTCTGTACAGGAACATCTGATTTGCACAGTTTGTGGACACACACATACTGACAAAACTGCCTAATGAAGATGTGAAGTGGGGCAAGTACAGATGTGTGCTTGGGAGACTCTGCGCCTTTTTAGAAATCTGTCTAAAAGCATAAGTGATGCAAGAGGGAGTGTGCGTCCCAAGCTGATCTGGGACCAGTGTCTGGGCTTGGCCTAATCCCAGGTTGGTCCAGACAGGCCGCTTGTCTGGGGCTGAGGACAGGTCATGACCTCAGGGACCCTGCTCCATTGTTACCTCATCAGGGGTCGTTGTGGCTGTTTGTCTGGGCCAATTCAATATTCCCCTGCCACGGATAATGACCTCCACCCTGCCCCCTCCCCTTTCTCTCTCTCTCTCTCTCTCCCTCTCTCTCAATGTGTCAGTTCTGTCATTTGCATTGGATTTAGATTACATCCTTCTTTTCCATTTCAAATTTCAGTTTCTTTTAGGTTAGATCACCTGCATTACTTACTGTTTGGATGAATAAAAGTATTTTCAGCTTGTACTTTCATATTATTTCGCTTCAGTTCAGGTTCCATTGTCTTGTCCGAATCAAGCAAAACGGTGCTCAAACATATCTGCATCAGTCCACATTAGCGTCCACGACCACTTTCATTTTACTCTTTCCTACCTAGTGTGTTATTTTCACTGTGGCTTTAAATTCGTGTAAATATTTATGTATATACTGTGACCAGAAAGAAAGAGAAACCTCTGTATAATGTAATGCAGTCTAGTCTAGAAGTGCTCCAATAATTACAACCTTTGTTCACATCATAATCCTCTACTTTTGTTGAAGCTGTGTCTGCACGAGGAGCCAACTCAACACAACCATCAGTTAGAAGTTTCTGTATTAATCTTGTTGAATTTCTTTAGCTGAGTTAATTGAATTCCTGCTGTTATTTGAGATTAGATGTTGATCTCTGCAACTTAAATTGTTGTGCTAAGTTTTGGCATCAACTAAATACTGCAGAAGGCTCCACATTCAAGTACACACGCCGGACACACAAAAACAAACAGATTCAAATAACATGTAGAGGCAGGCTACTCTTTTTGCTGAATACCCAAGCACTGAACCCCTTTGCCCCCTCCACTTCCAAAGATTTATGACCATATAACATAACAATGCACACAGACACCATGGTGTGTGTGTGTGTGTGTGTGTGTGTGTGTGTGTGTGTGTGTGTGTGTGTGTGTGTGTGTGTGTGTGTGTGTGCGCAGTGAGGGGAGTGGAGGGGGCCAGGCAGCAGGAGATGGATGGCTGGTGTGTGAGCTGCCGGCAGACAGCAGACAGGCCAGCCCAAGGAATCCTCCAGGGAGTATGGAACTCACATTTGCTGTCTGTCTACCCTGCAGCTAAACACAAACGTGTGTATGTGCATGCGTGTGCACACACATGAGCACACACACAAAGTTGTTTTACTACCACTGCCGCTGGCTAGCAATCTTTGGGACATTTTACCACCATTCCCACCCATGTCTTTATAACATTGTAGTAGAGGAGTCTTGACTAACTAAAAGGAAATTATGAAGTGGATGAATAATTCAGGCAACTTAGGAAGCACAGTGAGAGGTAGTCTCCAAAAAAAAATCAACAGTGTGTCAGTACTAATGAATTATGAAAACTTTGTTTTCACACTGCATTTCTTTGCACTACTTTCAAAATGCTACAAAAGCCTGTGTGTGTGTGTGTGTGTGTGTGTGTGTGTCTGTGTGTGTGTGTGTGTGTGTGTGTGTGCGCGTGCATGTGTGTTATTATTCAGACCATGAGTGCAGTTCACGCCGAGTACAGCTCAGCAGACTAGACACAGTCAACGTGGGCTGGTCTCCTGGTTGTTGAATAATGGATCAGAGACGGACTCCCGCTCAGCCTAATGCAGTCTGATCTGATGTGACTGTGATCTCCGCTGACTGGTGCGGACCTCAGAGAACTGACAGCCCGCTCTATAGGCCGGTCAACCACACACACGCAGCCACGCACGAGATGGCAAATGCCGCTACGCAAATGCACACGAGACGATCGGGGCATTATTAATCAAACGCGGAACATCACACGTTATGAATCAATCTATTTGGTAGGCAGCCTTGATGCTTATCCACTTCCAAAACACCAGAGTTTTTAGTGCCGATTCCTATTGAGCCTGTTACAGCCCTGTAATGAATCCTGTCGCTCATCTGGCCTGGCTTGGATTCCTCCTCCACATACCAGGGAGATGCCAGGGGCCACACAGACGCCAGAGGAGCCTTCCTAAATCACAGCCTTGTTACACTGATGAATGTGTGTGTCCCGTTCTGTGATCTAGGCTATCTGCCTCTGTGTGTTTGTGTGTGCGCCTCTGCGTCTGCATGTTTTCTTTGTGTGCATGTTCTCTCTCCTTCTCTCTGCCTCTGTGTGCTTCTACACCTCAGTGTCTGACTTGCCTCCCTGTGCGTGCTGCCAGTTATGTGGTTATACTTGAAAATTAGATTAGAGATGAATGCGCAGGGTAAAGTGAAATTAGCGTCTTTTGTATGCAGGTACAGTTTCCTCGGGTGTATATTCCTCTGCACCGGGTGGGCTACATGATGGAGTCAATAGTCACAATGCTCGTCCTGTGGTAACTACAATAGGCCTACTGTCAACTCCACCGAGATGACAATTTTCTATCCACTGTCTACTACACTCATACATAATTCATACTACCATCAATAATTCACCATGGTGACATTACCAATAATAACACAACAATACTTTGTTTTCACTGTGTGGTTTGAAACACGTTGCCTTGGTAACAGAGATGAAACAAATATTCCCAGGAGGAGTGATGGGAACACAGGAAGAGGACAGAATTCCCTCCTGATCCCTCTTAGTAGTGTTGTCACACTCTCTCTCCCTTATTTTCTCTCTCTCTCTCTCTCTCTCTCTCTCTCTCTCTCTCTCTCTCTCTCTCTCTCTCTCTCTCCCTCACACACACTCATACTCGCATACAAACTCACGGACCACACTTTCTGCACGCATAAAAAACTAGGTCAGATAATACAAACTCCTGAGGGGTTTTCTGTTTTGTCTCTTTAGGATTTCAGGGAAACTAATGGAGAGACTATTTTTGGGAGCCAAGCCCGCATCTCTGCGCAGTCTACTCCTCCCCTGCTTTCTCAGTAAATAATCATGGCTGCAGTTATAAGGAGGAGAACAGACACAAGAGAAACACTGAGGCAAATGTGATTATCAAAAGAACTGCAGGATATATATGCGTGTTTGTGTGTCGGTGCGTGTCTGTGAACATCTGATTTTCTCACCTCTGGTGTGTTCTTCTTGAACTCGCGGCTCAGGTCGATCAGCTTCTTCCTGGACTGTTCACTCTCGTCCTGTCTGTTGGCAAGCTGTGTGGCGGTGGCGTCTAGTTCTTTCTGGAACACAAACGCAACTTTCTTTTAGTTTGCTAAGGAGAGAACATTTTTATCATTGCTGTCATTATAATCAGCATTACTGTCATCACTTAGCATAAAAAAAGACAGCAGACTCCTTGACCCATCTGGCGTGCTGCAGACTACCCAGCTTGCCTCAGCTGAACCCGACCAGTATGTTGCAGCAGCAGACGCAGGGAACAGAACCACAACACTAATATCCCGCCAAGGAAAACCTGTCTACACCAGTAGTTTGATCTGCTACCAGCACAGGCAATATGTGAGCCATTCAGCCTGTCAGTCAATCAGTTGCCACAGTATCGGACATGACACCGTCTGTAGCAATAGACTGTTACGCGCACAGCTCACAACAATTATTGACTGTCTGCACCCGATGACCCCTCCCCAACATAACAACAACAGCACAATTATCAAAAACAGCAAGGTTGTCAAGGCTGACGGAGGGCCCTCCTTAATCCATTTTGCATTGTTATTAACAGCTATTTATGAGACTAGTTCCAGATGATGAGCCAAGTGCTGACATTAACAAGATATTCAGGCCTTGTAAAGATTGTATCTCGTTCTGCTGAGTGTGTGAACACTGCTGGATTATGTTTCTGTTGGATTCTTCTCCTCTGTCACTAGCGCTGGCTCCAGTTGCCGCTGTAGTCCCATGCAGGAGCTTTAATCAGTTTATTTTTATGCAAACCAGCTGAACCGACTGAAGTTCCAGCTTCTGGGCAAATTAAAAAGAAGCATACATCAGCAACCTGTGCCGATAGCATCACAGTGTTAAATTCAACTGTGCATCAGTCATAAGTTATATGACAATGTGATTAAAGTAATATGTTTGTTTATAAAACAGAGAAATGCAGCCAAGTGCTTTTGTCGCTGCACTTATTTAATGCTGAGTCGAGGTCAGCAAGATAAAGGAGATCAAATGTCATGAAAGGGGTTTGGGAAAATGCACACGGCTCATATTGTGTCTGTTCATTAGAAAGTTTGTGTATTTTGGGGTGACAATGAGAGGACACATGGCAGACTTCATCTCAAGGAAAAATTTCAACAGTTCCAATATGGCAACATCTTGGATTTGAAGCCAATGTGAAATGTTTTCTCTCACTTGACCAGGTAATTGTGGTGCTGCTTACTCTCTGCTGCACCTTCTTATTACCATCACCAAGGAGGTTATGGTTTCGTTTTGATCTGTTTATTAGTTAGCAGGATGCAAAAACTGCAGGGCAGATTGCCAGGAAATTGCCCGGAAAGGATGCGGTATGGCTCATGAAAGTGCCCATTAGGGGGAGGATGCAGAATTTATTTTCCATTTTCTTTCAAATTGCAATACAGGGCATTTTAAAACTTTTTTTTTTATTCCCAGAGAATAATAATTCATGAATCTTGATAAAAAAAGATGTTATGGAGACTAATGTATTATTAGTGCCACCTTTCGAACTGTAGTCACCAAGTTTTAATTCATGGACTCATGAAAGATGTCCTTATATACCACTTGGAGGTGTCAACTGAGTCAACACCTAGTGGTACATTTCGGTATACCCTTAAGTTCCAGTGTTGGTTTGGGTGGGTTTTTTTTTTACTGGCCAAACCCAATCTGCCACGCTTACTTCTTTTTTTGTACTCTCCACAGATCAGCCACTCACATACTCAGCCAGCGTTTTCTTCTCCTCCAGTTAAAATCGCTCTCTTCTCCCTTTACTCCACCTCCCCCTTTTCCTCTCCTCCCTCCCATCCACCTCCTGTGAGGCCGCCCACCCCTGAGAGTGATTAAACGCTGCTGAAGGGCCGTTATGCTAACTAACACACTAATCATTTAATACACACATTACCACAGGGGCCCTTGTGGCTCAGTCTGCTGACAAGGTCCCAAAACACACGCACGCACACATGCCCACCCCCTTCAATTCCCCCCACACCCCTCAACACACACAAGAAAATACAACCCTCTAAAGAAATAGTGTGATCAAGAACTAATTAGGAGATTTCTCCCCCCCATCAGCATTAAGTTGAATTCCCTGACCAGCCGTGATCTCGTTTTATCCACAAACCATAAAGAAATATAACAAATGGACTTGATTGACTGTTCTCTGCAATGGATTTTATGCAGCAGTACAGGATGTTTGAAAAAAAAAAAAAAAAAGAGGCTCACTTGCTTACATGCCATCTTGCTCTCGCTGCCCACAGAGCAGTTGATGTAGCAGCCTGTCTGCCCATGGCCATGGAGCAGCTGCACTATCTGTTAGTGAATTCGAGCGTGCGCAGAAGCTTGTGCAACGCTTGATGAAAGGAGGGACCTAATAAATTTTAATCATGTTAAATTAATTGTCAAAAGAATGAATGCTCTAGTTCATGAATAGAGGTGTAATTATTATATTGGTAAAGATTAGCTACAGAACAAGACACAGTATATTTGAAACCAAATATTAACATCAAATTGGCAGCTATTCACAATATGGCACATTGGGCCTTGAGCCTTTCCTTTCAGGGTGGTGGCACCATCACCAAAATCATTTTAATGTCAACAACTCAGTGGAACCCTTCAGTTTAATGCATGATCTGAATCCAGGTTGCATCAACAGCAACCAGGGTTAATTTAGATATATCCCAAAACTATTAAGAGAAGATGCCGTTAATAATTCGAGCCAGGCCATTAAACATGAGGAATAAAATCTGAAAATACAGAAACTCCCTCTGAGAACATGATCTAATTCACTGTATAACTAAAATACCATGGATGGCCCATACAGTACATGCTTTTGATTACGTGGTGCATATGTTACACACCTTAGGACACAATTAAGTGCATCAACTTCAAGATCATTAATAATAAATACACCGAAATGAAGCATGGTTTGCATTACAGTGTCTGCACCAACTACAGCCACCAGAGCCACTAAAACACTTTAATCTCTTTTTTTTTTTACGATTTTCTCAGCTGTGGCTTTTATAGAAATGTGGATAAAACTGATCAGAACACTATTACATTACAAACATTTATGATAGTAGTAACTTTAAAGCTGTTATTATTAATTTGAAATAAATCAACATGGAAAACGTTCTATCTTTATTCAATTTACCAGAATATGTATCAATATGGAAATAAGCCCACACAAACTTCAGGTAAACAGTCAACTTCAGTGATTAGAAATTAATTAATAAGACATTTTGAGCAAAACTGAACTCACAACAGCCTCCAACTGGGGTTCTGCATTAGGAGGTCATGTGCCAATCCCTGACGCCCTTGATTCTATCCAATCCCTTTCCAATACCCTGCTCATATCCCAATGTGTTACCAAATCCCCATTCCGGAAAAAAAAATAAAAAATCTGCTAAGCTAAATAAACACATCACACATGAAAGAGGATTGATTCAATGCCAAGTGGGCAAGTAATTATGGGCATGGTCTCAGTAAAAAAGGACCCTCAGACCCAGTCAGGTTTTGACTATGCAGCAAACTCTCTTCCCACATAAGCAGACACAGGCAGACTTTACACTCATCTTGCTGATGGAGCGTAACATCCCAAAGTGCACAAGCTCTGCCGCCTGCCCTTTGTTCACACACACATCAAATCTAACTGACCATTAAGACACAAATGCTATTCTGATTTTAAGCCACAATATATTATTACACATGATTTAGTTGTCATATTTTAGTGGCGTGAGCAGAATAGTGAACAAATGAAAAATAGACGTTTGGGTGTTTGCTCTGCTGAATGCCATTTTTGTAGATTGTGGGTTTTTAGCTAAATAAAAAACTGTGGTGAGTTGACATGGCTACAAAGTTGCCGTCAGCTAAAAAACACTGAAGGTGTCCTTTTTCTCCTTCTGCTTCAGTTCTTTGTTTCCACAAACTAAAACACACTGATGCAGAAAATGTGTTTGTTTAATGGCAAATTAAAGTTTTTTTTCCAGCTTATAAAAACAAAGTTGGCCTTACAGGGTGTTTGACACAGGCTATTTTCTAAGCAACCATTTTTTCAGGGGACAAACTGTCCACTGTGGCATTTCACTACTTTGATTCCAAATGATCTTTTTGTGATGTCCTTGATCTTGATTGTGATTTTTTTGTTTTCTTAGTATGTCCTCCTTTGTAATGACCAATTTAAAAAGGGGAATGGATATAATCAGCATTCACTCCCAGGTCAAGTGACTATGCAATGAACAAACACGACTTAGTGTGGGGAGAAAAACAGAAAGGCAAACTCCTCTACTGGTAAGGGAACGGATTCAATCACCTTTGTTCATCAAGTTTAACCACTGATTTTGGCATAAAGGAGGCATATCATTGCCCTTTTTCCCCCAAGTTGATATTCTCAAATTAGTAATACTTAAAATAAGTTGATTATTACTCTAATATGAGACTCTACTACATCAATATTAATTGCTAAACCCTGATAAAGATAACCATTGGAACCGATTGATTGAATCCCCAAGCACCCACATTACAGCTGATATTTCTATGGTGACTAAATATTGCAGGTAACTAGATTAATAGACGGCTAAACAGAAAGAAGGAGACCTTTCATTTTTATAGTTATCTCAATTGTAACATCTGTCACTATCACTCTATGTCATGACAGTGAATGCAAACTGCAAGACTATGTGCGGATTGGGTAGTTAAAAGGATTGTTCAAGTCAGCAGTGCAAATATGGCGACAGAATACTGGATTAGATAAATACAAAAAATGTCTATTTAATGTCACACATTTTGAACTGAATTTCTCATTTGGTGTCCCGGTGTTTCTTTGGATATTAGTAAAAAAAAAAAAAGCACCCACTAGAAGCTTGTCAGTTTTACTCTTTTGTTGGCTTCATCAATCTCCAAGCTTTTGGAGTTGAACACTGTTAACATTAAACAAAACTGCTCCACAGCGGTTGAAGCCATCTGGCATACCGCTGGGATTTTCTTTCTATCATGTCCCATCATTAATGATTGACATCATGCTAGTCTGATAAATCATACAAATTAACATGTTTGACAAGCA